CACATCTAAATAATAAGGTAAAGCTGCTGGCTGTGTGTATGTGTAATAAGTAACTGGTTGGTATTCCATCCTCGTTATTTACCGTTGTTTGAATGATACCATTACCAACTCATCCGGTATCTAAGATTGCATTCCATTCCAATCCGAGTTGATGCTTCGAGTTCCTCGTGGAAGAGTTTACAATTCACTTGGAAGTAAATGAGAAACTGATCTTTCACGCTTTGTGCTTGGTTATAGTGCGGCCCATGTCATTTCAATGTTCACTGCTGTCTAGTATCTCATGTCCTGCGTTGCATTACAAGATGACATGGACAATTGTTCATAAACAATAAAAAAGAGTTGAGGAATGCATCAAGTTATGTTGAATGCTAAAATAAATATTGGATATTGAGTGGAGAGCAGTACGCAATTTAGGGCAACCTCATTCCATACGTTTATACCAAATGAGATAAATATGTACATACTGCATTTTTGAATTGACATCGTTCTTAAATTTATCAAACAAGCACCTTCTTCGAAGAAGGGATCCTCGTTGCCGTTTACGGTTTCTGGAGCATATTTAAAGTAAACTAAATAAATTGTGCATGAATATGTTACTATCTATGAGTATGACTACTCGTCCTCTTATGTAGGACTGCACTAGGAAGGTGTGCAAGTTAAACCAGAAATGTGCTTGAGTAAGACGGGAAAAGTATTCCCTTGGTTGTACTGTACCGACTGCATGGCACTATCTTCTTCAATCTATACGAAGAGCAGAGGATTCACGACGAGTAGTCCATGACCATCTTCCACCACTAAAACATAAGGCTCTCTTTCTCTCCTTATGCAATAGTTCGAGAGCAGGGAGGTTGGCTGGTTGGTTGGTAAATGATACCAATACATCTCAGATCTCTCCTCCTCTCCTTCACCTTGAGCAGGCAGGCAGGCAGGCTGATAGATAATGGATGGTAATAATGGTAACCGTGCTCCTGGTGGTGTTCGTGGTAATAAAGATACGAAACTTCTGCTGTCTTCTTGACTGGCTTGTCTCGGTCTCAAAGTCGTCATTTCCGTCCATGCTTTTCCTACTTTCCTCTTTCGTTTGAAATCTCTCGGCTAACACTTGAATGCGTTTATTTGGAGATGAAGGAGATAGCAGGTCCTACTGCCACTCTGCCTTCAGCTTTACGCAGTTGGAGCAGAATTAACGCAATCATAACTTTTAACCTTACACAAACGACAGGAATCTTGAGCACATTAACCTGGAAGGAGTGAAGCAACAGAAATTAAATATATAATTTATTTGCAATGTGAGTGAAATCCTTGACAGCTTTGTAGATAAAATGCATGTAAATTGATGGTATGCATGGTATTATCTTTCTTTAGTAGGGGCCAGTGTGACGTGAATGGCGAATATCTACTGAACATTTATTGAGCAAACTTATAAAACTTTCACCATCAGATCTTGTGAAAGTTGCAGCTCCTCCAGCCCAGTAAGTAGTAAGAAACCGTGAAATGAAATGGTCTGAGTGAGCGGACACTATAAAGGTAATGCAACGGCGTAATGTAGCGTGTAGCAAAAGATGTCCCTCATCTCCAGCCAACTATTGAGTGTCGAGTTGAGTGAGTGGACGTAAGAGGAGTACAATAATAATGGGGAAATGGACAATGGTCAATTGGACAGAACGCAAGGGCTAATGGATTTACACAAAAGCCAACTTCAATCTATTATTGACACACGCTTACGACCGGGGTAGTGGCTGCCATGATGTCATCGCCATCATCACAGGCCTGTGTTACGCCTTTAAAATATGTCATGTCCACTTTTAAAGTCGTCTGGAAAACTAGAGGCAATAAAAAGAAAGTCCTTTTTACTTGCTACGTATGTTTTTTCATTTACTGATCCTGAGTTGCATCAATTTAAAAATTGAGTACGTTCAAAAAAGTACAAGTAAATATAATCCCGTGACAAGTTTTGTCTTTCTTTATTCACAGCATCATAAAAACTCTTTTGGGAATTTGAGACCAGACGCAATTTATTCGGTTGCACATTTATACATACATATTTAGGGAACGACGTAATGTAATGACGTCATTACATACATACATACGAATAGCAAGCAGCCGCAGACATAGCCAGCCTTTTCTGTTCAAACGCTAGTTTCTGATAATCACTGCGATGACCAACTAACAAGCAATTGCATCCCAATTTTCTGGAATCCCTGTCCCTCCCCTTTGTTAAATTTTCTATCGCAATCATCACACGACGACCGCGGCTATATAGCGATATCTGAAAGCAGCCAGTTTTGTTCCATCTGATGTGACTCGGTTGACATTTCCCCTTCTTTTATTTGCTCTTTTATTTTACTTCCAATTTTCTCCCTGTGCGATATCCAACCGACCAATGTGAATCATCATCATCCATTTGTATTCTTGAAAGAGGACTCCAATCAAATGGTCTTTACAAAGTCCAATGTTCACAAACTTTGCGTCGGGTCAACCCTTCCTACACGTTAACAAGAGAAACAAAACAAACTCGCGACCAATTCGCTATTTGTACAACAACCACGATGAGATTGTTGATAGGAAGGAGATGGAACGATGTATCACAACTTGTGGTCGACTGGCTAGTGGAGGATGGCGATTTTGGGGGAGAGATCCAGACCACAATTCGATGACTTGAACAGAATTGAAATGGGAAGAAAGTCAGAGAATATTCCACAACCTTACCTTCACGAGACTGGAAATGCTTTCACATATTCCATTTATTTCTCCAAAAGCGTCCAAACCCTAAAAATAGCATATAATGATGTCCTCATCTTGCTATCTATGTCCCTCACTGCCTGCGCTAAGCTTACACCAACGCAAATGTTTTGGTGGGTGTAAGTCATCTTGGGTTTTATTACAATGACCCCCAGGCTTGATAATCAACGTAATAGACCCGTGTTTAACTTGGGACATTTCTCCTCCTCCACGGATTTGGAGGGTATGATACTTCCTTAAGAAGTTTTTCTAGGCTCACTAGCTTACAAAGGTCAAAAAACTTTGTTATTTGAATAATTTTAGACCTTCACTTTGATTGTATGCGTGACTTTAGGCGAATATGTAATTTGCTGCTTTTTCCTCCAAGTATCAAGGTTACTTGGAGGATTATAATAATTTTATCAATCTTAAAATTTTTCATGCACTTTTAGCATACACTTTGCCAGAGTAGTGTTATGGCATGGCTTCACTTATCTTTTGATACATATGCCTTCCTACTTCCTTAATAAAAATACTTTGTCCACTTTCTCTTTTAACTGCATGTTCCTGCGGCTATAATAATATCGTAACACAAAAAACAGCGAGTTCACTTTGCATAATCAGCAAATGTACCTGCTTTTATTCTTGTTGATTAGCATGATTCTTAATTTTCTTATCTTGTCAGAAGACTGCGCCTGTAATTAATTATCATACGAGAAGAGTCTACGACAATATGTGCTTCATTCATTCTATGTACCTCGTCTTTCTCAGAATTCTGTCATAGATGACAGTGTCACAAAACAGGAGCAAACCAATGGCGAATTTATTACATAATAAAACCCAACTTTACAAAAGGGTATCACTGTCTTCCGCTAATTCCTGTGTGACTCGACTTTACTCTGCTGGATGATATTATTATTAACTTTCTTTGAGCGCTGTGATGAACACCGCCTCAATTAAGTTGCACCACACCAAACAACAAGCTTGCATGACTGATGTTAGATTAAAAAGCCAAAGGGAATAAGGCAGCGTTGCACTGGAGAACGGAACTGTGCTCGTACAAGAACAGAACATGGCGACTTTTTGGTTAATTTAAGTTGTCATGTTTCAACCCTTCTTTATTCAGCGTCGGTCTCCAGAAGATTTTGAAGATGCAGGGAGCGAGTCAGACGGACAGAAAGACGGAGGGATTTTGGTATGCTATTGCATCCCAGTTTCGCTCAAGTATAATTTGACGTGACCGCATAACACTGAGCTTTGAGTGAGTGAAGGAAGGAAATGGGAGCAAGTATATAATGTGATACATGCATATACTTATGTACTAGCTGATAGTTAAGCTAAAGTTGGTTTAGCTCACCTCGCTTCTAATGAAAACAAAGAATGCACCGTGAAGAGCTTGTTTAATGGACAGGTTCATTAACAATGTAAGGGTTCATTAGTTCCCGAAAAAGCACTTCCTCGACTCTAACATAACATTATGTATAACATCACGAGCGAACTGTGAGTTTTGGTGGATTCAGTTCCACAGATATCGAATAAAATTTAAAGCAGACAAGTCCAAATTGAGTTCTGGACACGATTTATGAGAGAAAATACGTTGGCTGTATTTCAAAGTTATCATAATATTTAATACCACCACCAACACAATAATGTCACCTTGAGAGGAGCTAATAAATAATATTATGTGCAATTTTAATACGAAAAGTTCCATGTTTTACTCAGATATTCATCCTTAATAATTAAGACACCAATGTTAATTAGTCGTGTGTATGAGTTTTAATTAATTACATCCTTATGTTAGGCTTGCCCTATATTTTCCCTTCGTTTGCATAGCTAAGTTTCCTTCCGCATGTCTTTGCCCACAAGACTGAGTAAACTAATTAATAAGATTATCTCACAAAGTAGCCTTTCTTCACTTCTTTCCCTTTCATATGTAATTACAGAACAGGATAATTAATTGGGAAAACATGTTCGAATCCAGCACAATTTATACATTGCCTCATCTCTTTAAGCGAACTTGTACATATACCTTTTTTATGCACGACAAAAATAAAATCTAGTGTATAAAACCTACTGCACAGAAATGAGCTACTGCATCCACACAAACTTAATGCATGTACAAATTTGCACTGTTTATTCTCAACGTTAAAAATGTTATCGATCTTGTAAATGTCATCCAAGAGCAGTTATGCTTTTATCCGGCCATATTTATTTTATTGTCTACCCCTTTATATCCTGAGATGTGGACTAAATCCCTCTCGTTACCTTCTGTTTTGCAGGCCAACTTGTGATTTCCCTAGAGGACTGAATGCTCAGTGATTTCATCCCGAGGAAATTTTCCAGTGAAACCCACAGGACGTAAAGAACGAAGGTAAAAACAACTTTTGCTTCTGTCTGCCATTACCACCACTATTGCATATTGAATGCAACCTCCATTCATTCATCTAATCTCATCTCAACTTTTGGCGTGCTGAACCCCTCTCGGATGCATTTTTAACACGAATCTAAAAGTGCAATGAGATCAGAATATCTTCAAAGTTATACATTTCACTCGCTTTCTAAGCTGAACATATATAACATGTAAAACTCATAGCTATTTTCTGCCACGCAATCACATTATGACGCACGAATGCATATATAATTAAGCTACAATGTTTTACATCTCATTTCAAATGGTGGGCTATTAGAGTTTATACGCTACTGCGTTTTAGACTGATTTCTGCACCAGTAGAAATTGAATCTGAATCGGATAATACTGAATTTATATTTTTTTGGTCATCTGTTTAGGCATATGGGAAACTCTTTACTTTTTTAGGCAGGAAACGAGCACAATGCCAACAGCAGCTTGCCCATGAGCGGAGTAGGTAAAAAATCAGGGCTGTCACTTCTGTGTGAGGTAATATAACATTTGCACTATGGACACAGAGGGTAGGAAGGAATGAAGGTGAAAGAAGGGCAATCAAAGTTAGAGATCCACTTTCTTCGCGAACCATGCAGAAAGATATATAAGCCTGACAGACCAGGATTGACTGTAGTGAACGCAGTGTATACGGCGATCATATTTCATTTGGAATTCTGCTCGCTTACTTCTGTCCCGAATTCAATCATGACTGGCTTTACGGAACACGGTGAGTTTTGATAGTGAATAAGCAAACGATACAAATCATTGAGGGGGATTCTGCAACACGACGTGACATTTGCTGGAATTGTTGAGGTACATATAAGGCGGATTCCACATCAAAAGCGAGTCATTTAAGGTATAAATAGTGATAGGAATAGCATGCCATTTGCCACACACTAGGACATGCCACTTAAGATTAGTTCATGAACTACTTCGCAGAGGAGAAGGAGGAGGCAGAACAGCCATGTTGTTGCCTCCTGACAGGGGAGAAAGTCAGATTGGGCATTTAAGGAAAGACACGACGGATTCTGATTGTAAGTCTGGTCAAGTCTCTCCGCCAAGAATAGATTGTTGAAATTTCTCAAGCAAAGTTAAGCGATACGCGGGGTCTGAGATGTCTTTGCAGAGGATGTCATGTTGTGAAGGTACAGAGTAAACGAGCATCCATCTCTCATGAATTTTGCAAAAGAAATGTATAAATGATGATGACGGACTCCAATTGAGCTGAATGAATTGAATCGGAAAAGACTTTTCAGAATCTATCTTCCAAAGCTGGTCTCGCACTTTCTCCTTCTGCATGAAATGGCTCGCTTTCTTCCTTGCAGAGAGCGAGAGGGACGAGACAAAGACTATTTTGACGACAGTTTAAGCTACAAAATCAACCATTTCCAAATTCCAAAAGAAAAGATGGCGATACATTATGTAATTTTGATGTCTTTTCACTAGCTGGTCGTCCATCTAGGTGTATAATGTAATGCTGCGATGACAATTGGAGAAATGGTAACGATAAAATCATATTATTGAGGAATTTAGAACGATTTATTTTATCTTTTTTTCATTCGTTTCATTGGACAATGATACTTTTATACAAAACATCTTAATAAATATTTCAGTCTCATCTTCGTCTTGCTATTCTATTTCTCTTGGTATCTTGAAAAATTCCTGAAGGTCATTTGGGAAATACTAACAACGGATTTTTATCAAGTAGCCTCAGCTACTTCTTGTCCGTGTGTCTTTCCTTCCCTTACCAAGATAGATCTCGAACGCCTCAACATATTCAAATGCGGTATTCGACGTCGCGTTCCTAATTTTATGACTTTGATCGAGTTCGAAAACGGGGTCACTTCAATTTCTCTCAATTTCTCTCAATTTCTCTCAATTTCTTCAATTTATATTGACTTTCAATTGACTTCTTAATGCTCGTTTGCAACGGCTTATTTTCCGACCCGTATACCTGATGCACATAAATAATGTGTTGTGTAAAAACGAAAGAAAATATGAAAGCGTGCATTCTTTGTCCTGTTTTACAACTAGGGTTTAATCTTAATCGAGTCGCAAAAGAAGGGTGTGTGATCCCCCTCTTTTTTATCCCGCCCTGCATTTTACTCACTTCAGAGGAGTCACTTTTAACAGCAACCTAAAAGAAGAATCAAAGACCTTTCTAACGCTACACCCATATTGTACATCCGCAGTCAGAAGTGCTTTAGAATTTTATTTCATCTTATTGCGGGGGGATTAAATAACAACTTCTCTCTAGTTGAAATTTTGTACTCCCTATTTGAATACGGCTTTTGATTGGAGTGGAGGAAGTGCATAATTTCCTGGATGCAGCCGATTCCACCCTTAAACCCGGTCGTTTATTCCCAAGCAAAACGACATCAACTTTCGTATTGTATGTTGTATATCGGCTGCACGGGTTTCTGAGAGTATTAAATTTATTTCCTTTGCTGTTCAGTAAAAGCATCCAAGACATAAAATGATATACCAGGAGACTTTTTCCTCTCCAGGTTGTGCTAGCTGCACCCTGCTGCATATTTGAATTTTGATGAAAATTACTCAATTACTCAGCACAGTAGCTTTATTTATTTCTTCTCATTTTAATTAAGCCTTAAAGCGTAAAATTGTATTGGAGCAAATGATAAGTATATGGACTCAGCACAATATCACTGCGTTCAAAGTTCTAAATTAGAGAAATACAAATTAGTCTTGAAGAATGCGAGAGTCTAAAAATATAATATTTTCAGCAGAATTGCATGATTATTATGGACCCTCTCAACTTCTTCAGACGCTACAACTCGTCCCCTCCTCACTCAACCACTGTATTATTGTTGTCATCTGTTTCAACTTGTGTTTTAAATTGGGTAATTTAACCGGAATAAATAAGAAAGGGATCGAACAAATGGTGAAGACTGCGGAGAAAGAACATGAACATTAAGGTGGGCATTAGGGACAGATTTGTATGCAATTTAAGTAGCACGTAGGAGAGTCAGCATACATACTTAAGCCATCAGTAGCGGGGGTACCATATTTCATCCCTTCTTATTTGCTTGAGCTGAGGAACTGAGCATCTTATTAGTAAGTAACGAGTCGCTATTGATTGTTATAGTTCCGGCATTGAATATCCCATCATTTCCACGCCAAGAGGAAATGTTAACAAATTAGAATCCAAGTTTCCAAGCAAATGATTTCTACTAATCAATTTCCCACTTGGTGCAGTCGTATGACTGCGTTCATATATCCGTGACTGTATTATGCTTGCAATTGAGTGAAACTTTATGCTTGCTGCAATTCAGACGGAGAATAATGATAATTATGAGAAACTCTGCTCTTGCAACACTTCACTGTCACCCGACATCATAATCGTGTAATCAAGTGGATGGTCTCTGTATTCCTCCATTATCGTGCCTGATTCGCGTACTTATTACTCGGTATAGTTCGAATTCTAAATTGGTGAAAGTCTACATCAACGCAAATCCGGATTTGAAGTGGTTCATCTAGCACTCCCAAGTTTCGAGTGATGTGGAAAGTAGTGGTTGGGTCCAGAGAGGGCTAGACTGGCCACACAAGTGCACGAGCTAGCGACGACTTTCTCCAAGAGTCCACTTTGCCCATTAGCAGGAAATGCAGTTTTGTCGTTAGTCGCCTCCCTACATTTTGTAGTGCAACTTTGAATACTTGGATTTAAGCATAAAGTTGAGCATATAATTTCCCAGCACAACAACTGGAGAGTATTAACATGTAAAGTTGGTGGTGTAAGTAAGTAAGCAGGAGAGGCACGAGTTGGAAAGGTTCCGTGCCTGGAAAGTTTAAATTGGAAAATATAAATTGTGGACGAGCTGTTGAGATAAGAATTTGATTTCGCTTATGGTGCAAGAAAGCAAGGTGGTGGCCGTGGCATTGCATTACACCAACGTTCTGATTTTGCACTCGTAGTTAGTGCACAGGAGTTATAAACAAAGTAAAAGTTACCAGATGGAAAGTGCTCAAAATTCATAACGGGGAACCTGAAGAACTATTATTTGATGGCCGGTTGAAAAGCGTTTATTTACAATTTACATTAACTCATATGCTTCTACTTTATAGTTTACTTTATAGTCTACTCCTCAATTTTGCAGTAGCCATTCATACAAGTGAATGATTTGAAAATAACGTTCTCAGGTTCGGTTCGAAGTGAAAATAAACGATATTCTGCAATTTTCCCATGCTTGGAAATTAGAAACCCTGCAGAAATTCCTTGGTCCATATATTTAGTTACAATGCAAGTTGAGTTATATTTAATTATTAGATATTTAATTATTAGAAAACATCAACGAAAATCGACGAAAAAAATGTCCCTAATTAAAACTTTTTGACAAACGGTCGGATCCATAAATATCTAAAAAATTAGTTCATGACCGTAATTAATTTATTCATTTGAAACAATCACTCGCCATTAGCATCATGGGCTGCAGGGGTGGTAAAGACTAGACTAAAGTATAACGTTTCTCGTGTTTTTTTCCACCTCACCTTAGAAAAATCGCTTTAAATTGCACCATATTATGGGTTTTTTTAGTGAAAGATAAAAACCACATACAGTTATTTACTTAGAAGATTTTTTATTTGTATGAAGTTGGCGATTTATATGCAAATTCTATTCTGCTTATTCAGCGAAAAATTTGAGACTGTTATTTTTATGAAAAAAAGTTGAAGGGAATAATAAGCCATACCTTTTGGAAAGAGTTAAGGATATTTATGGCTCATCATTCTTCATAAACACACTTCATGCATAAATAATTTCTGCACTTTTCAGTGATCAATGCACGTAAATCCTGAAAGGTACACAATTTTTTGTCAAAAAACCAATGCCACAGAAATCCACGGAGTACAAACTATTTTTAGCAACTGTCCGAATCAGAAATAATCATGATCATTTTTCCATATTTCAGCAAACTCGTTACATTCACGTGTCAAGTGTCCACCTACGAGTACTC